GGTATATACCACTGAAATATGGAAATTGGTCCTGTGATTGATAATGTGATGGCAGACACGGGAAGGCTTGGGAGAAATGACCATGTGGCTCCGCATCCATCACCTGTCTCTACATGAAAACACCTCCACACTTCTCATCACTGGTGGTCCAGTGTGATATATATGGCTAAGGGGATGCTGTGTGCAGGCTATGAGTGGTTTTCCATCACATTTCAGCTCAAACCGTTGACTGGACATGGTTAGACCTTTGATCATCTTTTTTTTTTTTTCAGAGAACGTCATCAAGGGATGCTACTAGTCAGTTGTCTCACTATAGAACCAGTGGCAAATGAATGTATATATCTCTTGTATATCTCGCTTGTTTATTTATTTGTGTGTTTTTGTATGTATACCAGCACACACTAATTTGTATATTAATATTTAGTCAGTTGTATAATAAAATAATAATTATTATTATTATTATTATTTTGATGTATTTTAAGCAGCCATTACTCTGGTCTTCAGTATCACATGATCCTTCAGAAATCATTCTAATGTGCTCTCGCCCACTCCTGACAGCAAAATGGATATATTTGCATGACTTTCTAATATTTACAGATGAAAAATATACCTGTGACATATCAGTTATTCACTGAGGAAAACACTCTCAAATGCATTAAACAGCACAAATTATTTAGCTGTTTGCCATGGTGGATCGATTTGATCCATGGTCGACATTAAGGGCTGCTTAAGAATAAGTGTGCACAAATTAGTGAAATTGCGTGAACTTAAATAGTAATTTATGGAACCGCTTTAGCCCCGATTTATTTGTTAGGTTATTTCAAGTAAGGTTTATGGACTTTAATTTTTACTGATGCAAATATGTTAGAAACGATGCATCGCGATACAAATGCCAACTTGTAGCCGATGCACACTTTTTTAATATCGATGCATCGTTAACTTTTATGCCGATGCACCGATGCGAATCTGTGAATCTTTCCATCCCTAATGTTTACACATAAGAGGAATTTGTTTTGGTGACAGAAGCTTCCACAGCACAAAAAGAATGACAGTGACAAGACAGATAATAAAAAGAATAAAAATAGGATAAGTAAATAGCAAATAACAATATACAAAAAATATTTAAAAAATGCACAACATACAAAGTAGACAATAGATATGGTGTGTGTGTATATATATATGATAGCACCACAGTGCTATTTTGTAATGATTACTTGCTGAAAGAACTACTACCTATCACTATCTTAAATTACTCTGAACCATATTCAGTTTCATTGTGAGGTCACCAAATACTCCAAAACCTCATAAAGATAAAATGACTCATCATTTCTTGATGTCATCTTTGCTCTTCAGTGATAATCAGTCAAGGTTTTTATATTTATCTCTGCAGAAAAGTTAATAGACACCCACATCCATAGAGTTAATAACATACTGTCAGACAGAGTGCTGATGAACTTGTGGGTGTCTGATGTTAATCTAAAATAAATCTGCATATCATTTGCATATTGATGAATGCAGTTGTATTTATTTATTATACCACCTCGGGAGCATGTAATGTTTTAACAAAGACAGATTCAAATTAAAATATGGCTTTAGCATTATATAGCTCAGAATATCAACATAATATTCATGATAATTTAATAGAAATCGAAATCTGTAATATGCAAGAGCTGTCTTCACATTTATGACTAGTAGTTTCGCAGTGTCATCCTAGTTGAAAATTGGAGTCATCTTTCTGAGTGTATGTCTCAGAGGATGCCCTCTTTATGACTCACTTTCTGAAATGGCCAATATTGCTCTTTGTCATCCAGGGAGACATTAAACTTCGCTTTTGCTCAATTACGTTCTGTTTGCTTTTTATTTCGGACCATTAAACTGTCATATTTTGAGATAACGCTGCAATTATCTCTTTTATCTCTTTAATGTTTGTCTGCCACGCCGTGATGGACCTCATCAGTAGATAATAGCTCCAGCTAGATGGCACATTTCTGTTATTGATCCCACCATGTCATTCATTACAAAAACACCTTGTGTGGGAGATGCCCGCAGTGTGTACTTAACCCTATAAAGCCTACTGTGTCATATTTGATATGCAAAGACCTCTAAATTATCAACATGATCAAAACAATCTACTACATGCCTTCTGTCATCTGATTGATAGTTTATACTTTTTTTAGCAAGTAAACAGGCTTTTAGTAAATGTTGGGTGACCATAAGTGCTCTTTTTCCCAGACACTTCCTGGCCAGGATTTCTATATTGCCTAAAATATCCAGGTTTTGACTTTGTTTTCCTGTTTTCATACTTGCTTTCGACTTGAAGCAGCGCTGTGCAGACCGGTTGGTGTATGACATCAAAGTACCGTGAGAGCTATAGAGAGCAGATGCTTCGGAATCGTTCTCACGTTACTTTGATGTCTAACACCGATCGGTTTGCGGAGTGCTGCTTCAAGTCGAACACAACACATGTAATATGTCAGCATATTTGCATCACTTTGACCATTCCCTGTAGATCATATGTCAGTCTTTACAGGGTTCAAACAAACACAAAATGTTTGCATCTCAAACCTCAGTGGCAAAGCTTTCAATGAGGTTTTTGCCATGTGCTTTCCAACATATCTCTGGTTCTCCGACCCCTCAGTGACTATGGCTATAGATCTCAAGGCGGGAGATGTATTAATGTAATTAGAGACTTCAATCTCTGCTGTCGATCGATCTTTAGTCGCCGGCTGCATCTCCCTGGGGATTTGTAGTAGGTCACCTCTGATTGCTAATGCGTCTGT